CGGTTTTCTTCTTTCGTTAATCCAACACACACGCACGCACTATAATACGAAAGACGAAAGACGATTTTCCTTCCAAAGAATGAAATTCACACTATGTGGCTTCGATCTGATGTTCAAGATCGTTCGTTCGCGTATCCTAGTTTCGCGATACGATATCGATAATCACCGCGAATAACAAGGAACACCATCAACTCGAATACACCGGCAGCACCCTGGCGCGCACTGCGTGCGACGAGATCACTCGTCGTCGCGCGAGAGAGAACCGTACGAAGCCATGGGATACGATCGGTTACGAAGCTTGCCGAATAACCACGAAGCGTAGTAACAGACGTTGATCGACCGACGAACAATGGTCGCGCGATACGTTTCTCTTTTCTTTTCTCTTTTCTTACTTTCCCAGCCACCAGTCGATGCACTTTGCTTTTTACCGCACTCGTATCTTCGCCCCGATATATATTTGCCACGAGTATCGGTTGATGATCCTTCCACTGGTGGTGGATCACAAGAGAAAGAGAGAGCGAGCGAGCCTTTGTTGCGAAAAGAACCGATCGCGACAACGAGAACGCGTTGGCGAGATCGCTAGCTGCGATCGAAATCGAGCTACACTTTCTTGCGAACCAGCACGATACACCACTGCTCTCGTGACCCTTGCGAACAATGGCGCGATGTTGCGGAGGACGCCCGCTCGTCCAACAACTGCCACGATTTCCTTTTCCACACTGCACCAAAGAACGGGTGGCGCCGGTTTCTTAGCGCTATAATAATAATAAAAACCGCTCTCTTCGAACTTGCAGATATACACGTCGTTAATTGCGGCACTTCACTGTATATAATCTGATCTTCGTCGAATATCGTTCCGTAAGAGAACGAATTGCCCGATTAATCCTTGGCAGGGGAAGCCCGAAACGAAGAAATGGAGGCTTGCACTGGTCACTATCGGGTTATATATCCACACTCGCGTATAAACGGTAAACGCTTGAGAAGCTCACGATAAACGTGGCAAAAGTGTGGAAGAAAAAGGTGTAAGAGTGATAATTCGAGGGACAGAAAATGGCCTGCGTATCACGTTCTCACACACAAACACACACACACTCAAAAATTGACACACGCAGGAGAACACGACACGGACCAAGATCAGATCGCGTCGAAGGCCGCTACTCTACTGCGGCAGTGAGGAAAGCTCACCCCCCACCACGCCCCACAGCCAGCACACTTCTCCAACGTATCCCCACCAAACCTGTGCCG